AGTATTAGTTATTCTTTAAAATTTCGACATGTTATTTATTTGTATATTATTGTCAACTATGATAGTGTTTTTATCACTTTTTTTTTTATGGTTATGTTTCAAAAATGAACTTATTGTAAAATATTTTTCTATTGCATAGTATGTTAAATAAACTATAAAGCCTTAGGATGAAAATTAGAAAAAATCTCTTGATTATGTAATGCATAGTATGTTAAATAAACTATAAAGCCTTAGGATGAAAATTAGAAAAAATCTCTTGATTATGTAAGGAATTCATTTTTTGGCAATTGGTAAATCATTTTTTTTTAAAAAAAGAATTATTATGAGAAAATTGAATTCTAAAAATCATGTGTGTGTATTTTGTAAACATTTATACTCAAAATTTTATTTTGAATTTCATTACATAAAGAAGACTACTTCTATAACTTTTATAAATAATAATAATGACATTATATGACTATAAATTTTATAATAAAATAATAATTGAGTATTATATGGTGAACGAGAATAAACAAAATTTTTATTTTTTCTTATATCAATGAATAAATATGTATTCAAAAATCAAATAAATATTAGTATGGCGTGTTAGCGGAATTATATATTAATTAACATGTTAATTTTTTGGCTTAAATAAACGTCACTTATTAAAAGATGTGAAATATGGATAATCCAAGCTTATTGTTTTTTTGTCTAGACGTACAAGTCCTATAGAAATAATTGATTTATTATATGTATCACGTGCATCGCACGGGGTATGCACTAGTTAGAGTTTATCTTTAAACGTAAATAATGTCAAGGGGACCCACCCCAATGATCATAACCTAATAGGTCGGGGTCTGATTACTATTATTTTATTAATATATAATAAGGATTAACATAATTCACTTTTAAAAACACTTTCCCACCAATTTTATTAATTATTGCCTAATTATAGTAAATTAACAAAATGCTATTTAGCATATCTGTTTTTTTTTTTTATAATTTTTTTAGGAATACAATCAAAATCCAAATAAATATGCTCTTTTTGTCGCTGGATATAAATCTCCTCTTTTGAAGGCAGCATATCGTGCGTTTATTAAGGAGTCTGCAAAAAAAAAAAAAAAAA